GAGACTCACTCGCATTCTCATTCAGTTGAATAGATGATTTTTTTTCTGAATGCAACGGCAATTCAAAAGCAAAATCAGGTGCCATACTTGCCACTGATGATATCTTATGGCAGAACCCCGCATACTGCGAGTGTGCAATTCAGTTGATCCCGCCCCAAGTGATGGGCGACTGTTGTAATGGAGACGCAACAGAGGCCAGGCCAGGCCAAGTGAGATCGGGGCGGTGTGGGCAGACGCCGTTCTAAGACCTGGAATGAAAGGGCGGCATTTATGAGAGAAGCAGCGTATTTTTATGGTGGACTGAAGCCAGCCAATCACAGGGCACATACACAGTATAGACAAACAAGTATTCAGACTTACATTCACACCTATGGACAAATTAGAGTCTTCAGTGAACATAACATGAATGTTTACGGAATGTGTGAGGAAGCCGGAGAAAACCCATGAAAGTTTGGGGATCAAATACGACCAAATGTGACCAAAACGGATGCTACTTCGTCGAGTGTCTTTCTTATAATTATACATCGCTACATGTTTGAGCCAAGAAACTAAAACCTCTTAAAGCCTCACATGGCTGAAAGACATCCCACCGAGTCAGGCTCGAAAGCGGCCAGGCCAAAAATTATTGCGGAAAACTGTCAAATGGCAACATATTGTGTTCAACATTAGGGGTTTGACTGTATTTTTATGTATGCTATTCATCCAGTGAATATTCAGGAACGTCATTTGCAGTTCAAAGAGTTAGAGAAAGCTCCTTAAAGCTCGTTCTGGCCTTAATTTGTTTTGTTGTGGTTAGGAGAGAAATCGTTAAGCCGTGGCAAAGGACAGTGAAGGTGGTGAGAGGCTTTTGATTTATGCAGACTTCAAAAAGTATACAAAAAACCCCCCCAAAAACTTGTGAATGGGATTAGCCACCAAATCGCACCATTAATAACATAGCTTTATAAAACTGAGCATGAAATGGGCTTAATCCTTACATCTCACTGTATTTATAGGTTTTTAATTTGGGGAATAAAACGCCCAACCAGGCCCGATTAGTGCCAATATGCAAAATGAAACACGGTGGTTGGCAGAAGTGGAAAAGGTACTCTTACTCTGCATTTTAATTATTAACATTTAATACAGAACGAGTACAAATGATTTTTAAAAAAAAAAGCATGCGAAAGATTCAATTCCTTTACTTGGAGACTCTGAATTGCACTTTGGTACAAATACAAAAATAAATTTGTACACCCAATTATATACAAATACCCATTTTGATAAGTTGAAAAAATACAGTAGGTTCCCTCTTTCAGCAGTATAGTGTTCAAATCACAAATAAAAAAACTCATGGGACTTGTTGCATGATGTTTAAAGACCATTGTTTCTAAATATTAACCTGCCACGCATGTTTTTGGAATGAGGGAGGAAACCGGAGTACCCGGAGAAAACCTACGCATGCACTTCTGCACTGTGAGGGTGACATGCTAACCAGTCGACCAACGTGCCGGCGCTTTGAAATATAGGCGAGAAGTAAAAAAAAGTGAGGTATGAAGTAACGAGTCCTGAAAAATATATTTAAGTACAGTACCGAAGTATTGGTACTTCCCACTATTGCTGGTTGGTGCTCTGCAAATGTAGGCTGACAGAATCGATACTTGGCTAGTATTTGCCTTTGGTACTGGCTGGCTTTTTGAAGCGGCGGGTGGGGGGACTGTCGGCCCATCCTGAACGAGGACACAATTAGTGTATTCAGCCCAAAACAGTGGGGTTCCCCCTTTGATGTGGGGATCAAATGAAGGAGCTGTGTGTTTTTGTGCAAAATGACAGGCTTGCCAGGTTTACTAATGGCGAGCTAATAGAAAAGAGAGGGTTTATGATGCTCATTAATTACACAGGCTGTCATGTGTTGCAGGGGTGAGGATACAGAAGGCAGAACGGGGAGGGGGATTGGCGAGGGCAAGGAGAAGCTCTCGAAAAAGGTTGCCTGGCTATAAAAGCTGACTCTATTGAAAGAAAAGAAAGGGAGATCAACTAATGGCTTCCTGAGATAAGAGCAGCCACCAGGACAGAGCATCTTCAAAGAGACTCTCACTGGAGCGAGGGGTTAAAAAGAAGAAGGAAAAAAAAAAACTTGCCATTATCTTCATAGCAAAATTCACACCCCATCCTGGGTGGACATCCAAGGCCCAGCAACATAATAGCCAAGAGGGACTTGACACATGCGGCGTGGCGACAGAGATAGATTATGTTGGGTTTTTTTTTCTTCCCAATTAAAACAGTTCCCAGATGTTTGAACAAAATGTGTATCGCATGCTTTTGTCAAACTCCCGCCAAAGATCGAGATTTATTTTACACTTTACATCATCTACCTGTATAATTGCCTCACTGAAATTCGCCCATTTTGAGAGATGTGATCCTGTCTCATGCAAGTGAACCACTCCTCATCCCAATGTTGCCTACAGCAGGGCCATTTCCAAAAAGAGATTTCACTACCATGACGACCCAGGGTGGAACTTGGGAATTTTGACTCAGCGAGCAGCTTCGGCCGGGTCGCCCTGCATCACCGATACAATTTCACATGGGTAAGCACTTTTTCACAATGATAGAACATTATTTATTGCAAATTATTTATGTGGAACCCTAAGCTACAGCTCCCCAATTTGGGAACCTCGTGTGAAAACAAAAAAACCCCAAAAGTTCCAGGTGCACTTTCGGGCATAAATTAAAACACACTAACGACAAAATGAAAACACACGCAGAGAGCATGGATCCGAAAGTAACTATACAAAGCGCACGGTAAACAGCCAACCCGACTGACGGCAGGATCTGATGTCGTTCGTGAGGCCACGCCCCTGAAAGGCATGTTCTTTGGGTGTCTGGAACGAATTGGCATTTCTATGAGGAAAACTGATATTAAATATAAGTTACTAGCTTGGTCATGAAATGAATGAAAATCTTAAGTCAAGGCGGCGCTTCATTTCTAAATGAAATATATATAAGGAACATTCACAGCTTTCATAAGCAGCGCAAAAGGGGCTACAGAATTAATCGTACAAAGTCGGTCCTATTCATATACACACGCCTGTGTAGAATCTTCATACATAGCTGTATTTTCACTCTGGGGGAGCTAGAACAATGTGGAAGGAAAAAAAAAACTTCTCCAGTGGTTGCTGAGCCAGAGAAGCCAGCTGGAGGAAGAAAAGTGACGCTGCCAACATCTTTGTTGTGTTATTAATGTCTTATTCTTCAAGGCCGACTCTCCACTTGCGCCAAAAAGAGTGCCGTAAAAGGAAACATGTGCTTTATTATTTATTTGTTCATTGTAAGAGGCACTTCACAGCGGCTGAAGAAAGTGCAGCCTTTATTGTTTTTATTCAGAAATATTTTTGTTGTTGTTGTTGTTGTTGCCAAGCAGCCACAGTCACAATTCTGTGGGGCGGCTAGGAACTGACACACAAATGTTGTTTTTTTTGTTGTGGTGGATTATTTCAAGTCTTATACGGCGCTGCTAGAGGCATGCCGTCTGTCTGCGCGCTGGAGCTTGGCTGCACTTAAATGCAACATTTAGCAGCAAACGAAAAAGCTTGAAAAGGACACTTGCTGCTTTTTGAAGGTAGTAATTCAGAGAATGTATCAACATGCAAAACGTTGTGGATCAGTGAGTCAACTGCAGGGTACACAAAGACAAACAAGCATTTACGCTCACACCAATAATTAATGAACCCAACATACATGTTATTGGAATGTGGCAGGAGGCTTCAGTACCAAAACCGATGCAAGCATGTGTGAATAAATATTCTGTTACGTTTCGGTTCCAAATATTTACAAATAATTATGTCTTTAGTACTGTGTTAGCATTGGGTGGAAATAGACTGGTGCATCTGACAAATTTGGATTATGCTGCTGCTGTAGGAACGAACTGTAAAACCCCTGTACTCTTCTTTTCAGGTCAAACCCCAATTTTTTTAATATTGTTCCAATATGTTTGAAGGTCAGGGTAAAGTTAGCCCCTGCCTAGTCACTGGATCGCTCTTCACAAATGTTATTTTATTTTTTATATTTTTCCAGCCTACGAAATCTATCACTAGCCATTCACTAAAAAAACTTTCTTGGGCTCCTTCTCTAATGCCCTCAGATGCCACAAGATCGCACCTAAGGCTTGGCTACATAGGGAAGTAGTAATCGCTGTCAAAGAAGTATGGTGAAGGGATCCATTTTGACGGAGAGACAAGCTGTGTGGGGTTTACTGTGTTGTATGTATCGAAGCTCTGTACCATGCATGAATCTGTTTTTGGAAAGTGTCTCGTACCAAATGAGCATGCCGGTCGAACAACTTCTTGGGAGTCTACTTCCACTGCATTATCCAGGTGTCTCAGCTCAACCCTCATGAGAAATGTGATCTGGCCCCATTTTGCTTGAACTAATGTGTTTACATGTAACCTGAACATCAAGCCAATAATTAGATTTTCTGGAAAGCCGTGTCAACACGCGAGCTGTGGAAATGCGTGATCCGACAGCGGCTGCAATTCGACCGAGGTGCCTCTGCGACTGGGTTGCGGAGAACGCAATATCAAAGGCTGTTAACGGCCCGCAGTAATGAATTCCACGGCAGTCCCTTCATCTCGGAGCTTAGCTAAATAAACCTTCGTCTGGATGAGTGACCCACTGGTGCGGTGGGGAGGGACTGGTAGCCCATTGGATTTGAGGGGATCTGGGTGTTAATGATGACCTCGTTTACCCGGGACATCACCGTGGCATCTGCATGCCTCAACCCTGCGACTACTGATCAGGAAGCCATTGTGGGAGGCTCAACTGAAAAGACAATGAAAGTTTTTTTCCTCTTCAGCAGCTTAAGTGTAAAGTTCATTGCAATGTAAATGCAGCAAATGTACTTTTGTTTTATTTAGGAGTTCATAGTTTCCATCTCCACTTTATTTCCAAATTTTAGACGATTGTTTTTTAAAAGTATACTGACATAACTTACATAATATAATGCCCTCATATGTCGGAAACGAGAGCCGAAGAACCTGGTGCACAATTCAGCCATTTATTGAATGCCGGGAGTACTCTAAAACACAAAGACACAATGAGCACACTCAAGTAGGAGCTTCTGTCAGCCACAGCTCACACCCAGAATCTCACACATAGACTCGCATACATTCCACCTCACCAGGCTCCATCTTTTAGAGGCACGGGCATCAAAACAATTCATGATTTGCTTGCCCGTAAATGACCATCAACAGCCTTCTTTCATTTTTGGGGTAGGGTGGGGGAGGGAGGTGTCATATGATCATTGAAAATATCCAATCAAAATCCAACTAAATGCGCATGAGGTTGTGCGTTAGTGTGCTGCAAACCCATCAGTGCAGTCCCTCATCACGGTGGCGTGGCTGCGAGAGGGCCCTCGACTCACAGGAGGGGGGGGGGGGCAGCCGGCCAGTCAGCCCAGCGATGCGTTCCGTGAGATGTTTTCCAAACAGAGGGTGTACTGACCCCTGAAGTTGGGTCACCGAATGATTCCCCCCGATGTCCAGCACCAACTTCGCCAGAGCTTTTCACAATAAGGCAATTCATCTCCACGTAATGAACTGGTGTTCCCACAGACAAGGGAGGCAGGTCGGGGCCACAAATGTGGGGGTTGGGCTCGGGAAGGTCAACGGTGATGTCATCCTGAATCAGGCGCATTAGAAAGTACATGTAACACACCATTAATACACGCCTTGTTGCGATGCAATTGCATTCATTACATGAGCCAATTTATTCACTTTGTAGAAGTGAAAGAATTGAGTTCACACAAGCTAATCACAAAATGACGCATGATGTTTATCGTCGCTGTCCTGTGAAAAACACATATGCCCATTTTTGTCATTTAAAAAAGAAAAAAATCTCCATTTATGGGATGTCTGAAACTTCGACATCCCATTAATGTAAAGTGAAGTCAGCCCAAGTGTAAATGATTTTAAATACAGGTTAAAATCTTAGCCCACCCATACCTTTGATTAAGGTCTTTGAAACATTTTAAATATTTCCTTTCTTTTAGCTATTTCAGAAACCCACTCTTAAATGGTTTGAAAGTTTTACATTCGCAAACAGTTTTAATGGTTGCAAACTGTTTTGTTTTGTTTTTTGTCGCCAAGAAATTTTCAACATAAAAAAAAAAAAAAAAAAAAAAACCATCACCTCTTGGAACATGAAGATGAAGCTCACTTGAGAGACTGAGAGGTCGCAATTCATCGGGGCCACACACTCCATCCAGCCTTGGTGGAGGGCCATTCGAGCCTTTTCAAGAATTCAACATGGCTTCACCTGCAAACCTACAGAAAAACTGACACGTGCACCCTCCCTCGCTCATTGTCTCCTAGCCCCCTGCCCCTCCATGTGTTTCCCTCAGCCGGGTTGACATCAGCATGGAGGCACGCAGGGGCCTCCTCATCTGCTCCCAATTATAGCTCAGCCCATCGCTCGGCTAACAGGACTGGTGGGAAAATGGTGAGGAGCAGTGGAAGACCTCCATGACACAATGTGGTGACAATGATCAAAACCCTACGACCCCCATACAGGATCGCCCCCACCACACCTCCTCTCAGCTGATACAGTGACGTGTAGCCTCTTTCACACAGCGATCCAGTCAAATTGTCATATCAGAAACGTCACAGTAGTGTAGACGTAGATTTTAACGCTTTTTTTCGCCTTTTACACGGAACCCAGTGAAGCAGGATATTGCGCGAATGCAAGCATTTTCACACAAAAACTGTCCAAGTGTCGGGTTAACGTCATCTCTGGTATCAACTTAGTCCACATTGTGGAGCTTCTACAGAAGAGTGACACCAAAAAAAAAAAAAGTCTGAAAATTATTGCATTATGATGATATGGTAAAAGTAACTTCGGATGCTATATCCGAAGTCGAAAACGGTGGAATGTTGACTTTGTCCATGTCGGCTTGTCCTCCCACAACTTGGTGTAAAAGAGAAAACAGGACACTTGTACTGATTCATCTCCACAGATCTCTCTAGTCTCGCCTGTGCCAAGTGCACGTGTTTCCTACGTTATATCTCTTTACATATTTATCTGCTGTGATTGGCTGGCAACCAGTTCAAGGTATACCCCGCCTACGGCTCGAAAACAGCTGGGATAGGCTCCTGCGCTCTCGCGACCCTCATGAGGATAAAGCAGTTCAGATCATGGATGGATGGACGCATTCATCTGGTATTTCAAAGCACGTAACGTTAGATGGATAGCCATTTTTGTACTTGGTGCCAAAGTACACGAAAAGCAGTTTGCATTTTTTTTTCTGACTACACGTATGTTAAACAGAACAAAAAAATCATTTCGCAAGGTTGTTAATGTGTAAACGTACCCTTGGATGCTGCTTTGAGCAATGCAACTGTCTTGCCTGCCGTGACACGTGAACTGTGTATTCTTTAGTACTCTTGTCTGCACATGCTAAGGCTGAGCAATCCCTTGACCCAGTGCTCAACGCATGTAGGACATTTGCATGAAAGAATCAGTACCCTAAATGCCAAAATAAACATCAATTAAAGCCGCCAAACACCAGGAGGAAAAAAAACAGCTGCAGCTTTGAAACGAGGCGACCAGCAGGCTTCAAACACTTTTAAAGGCCCCTCTAAAGGGGGATGCCTCACATGCATCCAAGGCCAGGCTCAAATTAGCAAGGGCGCAAATTACACCACACACTAATGGAGTGCGGAAAGATGATTTTTGTAAATTCGCCCAAACATTGCTCGTGATTGGAGTGCAAAGAAAGCCATGCAAAGGAGCTGGAAGGGAGAAAAAGATACAGTGGGACGCAGTTTTAGGAGTTTAGCCTTAGATTTAGAATCTTTATCATCATTGCATATAGTGGGCAATGACATTTTCCCGCACTGTTGCAAAAAGACAAACGCTCTAAAAATGAAAGTACACACCGTGTTTGATTAAATTTATGACGATCCATCCATCCATCCATCATCTTAGAAATGCCATTAATCCATTACAGGATAAAAAAAATTGCACAAGGAGCATTCTTATGTATACATACACACATTTTGCATGACTACATAGACACATCCATGCGTACAGACATACAGACATACATCCTGAGATATAATGATTTAGAGCATAAAGAATACTGTATGTGCCTGTATTTTCGAGAAAAGTATAGTGTAGTATAAAGTACAGAAAAGTATTTTTACTTTTGTATAAGTGACACATGGTGACCGAGACAAGGGTGGCATGTTGGAGAGGAGCTTAATGGGGCCTTAGAAGTGGACGAAGGTACAAGAGAGTCATCACGGCATGTACAAATGACTTCAGCTGGCTGCATTTTTTTTTAATCAAATGCAAGCCATCTACAGTATTTCAAATTGTCTTGTTTTATGATTAGTTTCAAATTATATTTTACTCTTTTGGGTTCGCATTCTGTGATACAGTATAATTATGGTTTCATCTATTGAATATAGGAAATGATAAACCTCAATTTTCATGATTCACAGCAGGTCTCCATCCCTATTACTGTAATCTGTTATGACTCTTCTTGCTCCCACAAAGAGCTTCCATTGAGTAACTGCCAAGGTTTATTTCTGCCTCACCAAAAGACAGGCATTTTGTCCCCCCGCCCGACCGAAAAAGGCTGCATTACTTTTGGGACAATGCGTTCCCCACAGTGGTGTTTTTAGGAGACGAAACGCAACTTTCGGAAGAATGGAGCGGCCAACTTAGGTCCAACTCAAACATTGTGGAGTGACCGACACGATCATGTTGGCTGACTTGCGAACGCTATCTCATCGCAGATTGGGATTGATGACCAATCAGCTAGGACGTGTTAACAGGAGTGGGCAAACTCTTGTGCTCATGGCCCATAATTAAAATGAACAGATGAGGTAAAAAAAAAAAAAAAAATCAAATAAATTTGTGTCGTAAAATACTATGTACAACAATACTATGTACAACGGTATGCCCATGGTAACAAGGTTAAGAGATAAACCTGCAAATTAATTTCCTACTACGCTAGCTTTCTGTTTGCAGATATCGATAGCACTAACCTATTGGGAGCCGCACACACCTCTCAGTGTACTGCCTCAATTGTGACTGCATAAACAAGTTGCCACGTAGCTTTATATGAGTCCAACTGTAATAAGTTTACTCCAGCTAAGTTGGCGTGCTCGAAAAAAAATAGCAACTGCAATTTCGAACTTTTAGCTATATCAGCATAAAAATTTAACTCAATGGATTTTTTTTCCATAAAAAAAAAATCCCCAGTTCCCCAGTGTAGTCAAATATAAAAATAGTTTTTAATAGAGTTTAGTAAATTGTTGGTTAGTTCATTAGAAATGAATGAATTCTAAATAATGAAGTTAAAACGTGACGGTTCAATGATATTCTGCACCAACTGTACAACTCTTATAGTATTTTATTCCACCACTGATCACTTTAGCTCTGCTTGATACTTTGCACATTGTCTCACAGTTGTCACTGGGCGGTACCACCGCACAACGGTTCACTAACATTACGGAATGTCCTTCTGCATACTTATTTGTCATGTCTTTGTTTATGATGATACCAGTGCAGCGTGTTCTACCGGAGACAAATTCCTTGTGTGTTCTACATACTTGGCCAATAAAGATGATTCTGATTCTGAATTTATCATCGTGAACCATTGTTGTGGCAGACATCATCAACCAATACTGAAAAGGGGCCCAGAGTGGTCAATGTCTGACTTCCTCTAATCTGTTTTTTCATCATTGTTCCTGTTCCATTTTGCAGTGTTTCATCCCTCCAAATTTCAATCAAGTTCATAACTTGCAACTGACTCTCACGCCCTCCATGAATATATTTTCACACCATGAGGTCAAAGGTTGAAAAATGTATCAACCCTATTTTTACAAAGTAAGAAGTGAAAAGTACCGATCTCAAAAGTCATCTAAAAGATGAGTTCTAGCATAGTGTCGATACCTGGAAATTGTAGTAGAGTACACTAGCAAAGTACGGTATTTGCACTTCCAATCACTGGCATCCGTGTAAAAGCAAGAGAAAAACAAGTGAAGGAAAAAAAAAAGCTTTGATCTAATGACTTCGGGGTGGAATCTTCTTTGTAAAATGTTAATCTGCTCTCTACATTGCAGATTACCCGCCGCTACCGCCGCCCCCACGTCTGGAAATGTGACTGCTCTCAGATGGTCAAGGTAATTTTGACCCACTTAGGCCGTCTTTGATCCCAAACCCCCTTTTAACAGATCCACCGCACAAGAAACTGATTTTGTCATCCCCTCCTCCACCGGCCCCCAGACCGCTGCCTCTCTTGCAAAGCCGCCGAGTCGAAGCTAAAGCTGCCTAAGAGCTGCCAGAGTTGCTGACAGCCAGCGGGAGTTGAAAGCGCCTTCTAATGCTGACGATCACTGCGAGCGACTTGCTGCTAATGGCGTGCTCGCCCACTTTTTCTTCCAGGCGTGGAGGGTAGGGGGTTTTACATTCTGTCAATTTGCTTCCACACGGGAGAGTCTTCCTTATTCCTTTACAAGACAATTATTGAGTTTGCAAATGACGGACTTCCGGTGACACCGGCACCCTCTTATCACTACAGGGAACCGAGCTGACACCCAGAAGTGATTGTCAGCAAATGCAGGACGCAAACAAGCATTCATTGTCACATTTACACCTACGGATGGAGTCTTCAATGAAACTAACGTGTATGTTTTAGGACTGTGTAAGGAAAAAGAAAAACCCATATAAGCACATTTAGAACACACAAACTCAACAGAGAAAGGCCTGAGCTGAGATTCAAAACCATGTTGTCATTTCTCCGTAATGTGTGTCCTCATTAGGGTCGGAGGTGAACTGGAGCCTCTACATTCGGGTTTAATATTGTTCCAAAAACCCATCTGCAGTTGGGTAAAATAGATGTAAAAACATGAAAAAAGTACAAGTGCATTTCTCCTCTGGGTCACATTTGCACATTTGTAGCTCATAAAAAAAAAAAAAAAAAATTGCTGCGCGCCCTACCAATAATTAATTGATTCATATAGAGCTCCTCATGGCAATTACACTGCTGCTTCTTCTTCTTCTTCCTTCCGTCTAGGGAGAAATGAAAGCCGACGCCGACATGTGGCGCATTAATAGCTGGAATCGTGACGGCGTGCGACGGGAGAGCGCTAGTTTGCAAGAGAAAACATGTTGACAGGTTAATAATGAAGTCCTCGGCCTTGATATTGTTGTTAGGTAACTGTAAAAAAAAAAAAAAAAAAACTGACAAAGACTAAGGATTGGCCGGGGAATGGTATTCATCGCGACTCTTACCAAAAAAAAGAAAA